TGGATGGCGCCCGAATATCTAACTAAAGACGAATACGGAGCCAAAGTGGATATTTGGGCACCATCCAGTGTGCTGTTCCAACGAGTGAGCTTCGTTTGCTCTGCTCAGGTGTGATGCGAGCAGCGAGACCAAAATCAGCTGAGGACAAAAGCCAGGATCATGAAAGCCAGCCTGAATCATGAAGCCAAGTGCAAGAGTTGCCCACTAGAAGCCTGAGGAGGCTGAATCCAGCAGGAAAAGCAGTCATACTTGGTTTCCTCAAGGCTGTAGCCAAGGACACCTTGTTCCTCTCTGCACATTGCAAGTGTGCTCTTGGCTTGTAGCAGTGCTCCCTGCCCTCCCACAGGCATCGCTTTTTGGAAACTGGCAGGCAGTCTCCAGCAGCCCCAAGCGCCACACCCCGGGAACACCCCGCCTGACCAAGAACACCTACCCAACTTGACGGATCCATCCATTCCAAGAAGAATGTTATCACCTTTGAGATCCCTGTGGATCACTTGGCGGCAATGGAGGAATGCCAGTGCTTGCAGGCACTGAGAGAGAAAAAAGAAACAGGAGAGTACAAGTGAATGACCCAAGTTCATCAGCCAAGAACGGCAATGGCTTTAAAGATTTCAGTTCTAGGTAAACGGTGCGGACTGGCAGACCATGGTGGTGTCAAGAGGAAGAGCTTGCTGCTGCCTCCTCACTAGTAAAACCCCATCTTTTTAAGGGAAGGCACATTCCCTTTGGAGCTTTGGAAAGAGAAATGGCAATTGTTGTCACACATTCCATTGGGTGGAATGCTCTCCCTTTCAGCTGAGGACTGCAACAAATGAGTCTCTGTTTTTCTTTGTTGCTAGTATAAAATTCTGCCACCAGCATGTTTGCACTTACAGGCAGGGAATGCACTACAGACAGGCTCCAGGCAAATGATTTGGCAAAGCTGAGAATAGTAAATCAAATAAGAAAGAAGAGAGAGGGTACAGCAAGAGTTGTACTGGCAGGCCATTCACTGAAGATGCTCTTTCTTCTCCGTATTGGAAAAGCGACACAGAAAGAAGGCTCTGAACATGAAATCCCTGCTGTTCCTGCTGCTTGTTTAGAAGTCCCAGCCTGCCCAAACAATTGGAAGCACCAGCGGCATCCCTTACCTCCCGGGAGACAGCTGCCATCAGTCCTTCACTCATGCTTATTTCCTTAACCACAGATCTTAAGGAGCCTCCGTCTAGATATTCCATCACGATCATTAGTTTATCTCCAACCAGGTAGCTGAAAGAAGAAAAGAATGGCATGGAGAATGGGCGTAGCTAAATTACCCTACTTCAAAGACTAGAGTTGATTTCTGTTCTTGGAAGACTCGGGAATGAACACTGGATAAAATGCAGAGACATTCCTTCTAGGCTATACACTCCTTGGAATCTGTGTAGTCTAAGTGAGAAAGGCACATCCGTGACAACTGAGATCTCTCAGGTGGCAAGGGAGTGAAAAATGCAGGGAAATAATTTCTAGGATGATTTCTTAGCAGTTATCATAAGAGACAGCAAATATGATCCACTTCAACCCCAAACAAACAGGCAAACCAGCCTGGAAATAATGAACTTACAGGCTGTTGTTTTGGGAAGATAGGGATGACTTCAAACAATGTATGCCAGAAAAGATGAATGCAGACAAAATGCACTCTCCTCCCATCCATTGTATAGGAACAGATAAAAAATAAGAATAAAAGGCTGACATCTCTGCCAGAGACCAAAGGAGGTTCTTTTAACCTTTGGCTTGCAGTCTGGAAAGGAACAGTCACATGACCATACCAGAACTACTTACCTGTCTAAATAATTAACAATATTTGGATGCTTATTGTCCCTCATGACAAGGAGCTCATCGACAATTTGTTCCTTTTTCAGCTGTTTTTGGAGATACACTTGCTTTATGGCCACCTAAAATGACATTGAAAACCATTAACTTGGGAAGCCTGTCACACAAGACCAGAACAAATTTTGATTTTGAAACTCTAAAGAACACTCTTGAACGCAGTTTAGATTTGTAATTTCCTGGGTTGAAAAAGAAAGAACATGCTCTGTGGCATTTTCTGGGGATGCTCCGGGTTAGAATCAGTGCTTAGGGTTTTGGATCCCTCATAGACCTCTATCCAAGCCCAG